CTTGGCCTACCTTACTTCAACTCTCTAATGGGCAGGAAGGTCTCTCTCTTTTACACCCAAACACTGTCCAAACGCCTCCTCCTAAAATCTTTTTGAGGCCATGTAAGGAAATCAGCAAATGACTCTCAAAGCTAACTCAAAAGTTCTTAAATCTGCAATTATCCTGAGGAAGTAGGTACATAAGAAAAATAATATTAGCTATTGGGATGTTAAACATTTACATATATTACTTCATCTTGATCCCTACTAGTCCAATAAGAAAAGTGCTAATATTTCCATTTCAAACATAAAGAAACTGAGGAATAGGGAGGTCAGGTCATTTGCCCAGGAAAAGCCAAGATTCTTACTTGGGTCTGCCTCATATTAATATCCATGCTCTTAATCCCATATTGCCTCTGCCAATGTCTGTGGAAAATGAAGAAAAGAGTAGAAGCTATGAAATTTCTCATTAAAAAATATGTAGAATAATTGCATACCAGACTGGTGTCTGCTGTCCTGACTGGAACAAAAAGTAAAATTTCTTAAATGAAAATCGGGCTATTTATAAAAGAACTGACTTATTTGACAAGAAGATATCAAACAGGCACTTTGCTATTTCACAAGAAAGAATAAATGGAAATGGTGGGTGCACCACCAAATCACCACCCAAAACAGAGGAAAGGTCATGGAAGTTAGAGAAAACGTCAAACTGCCATGAAGCACTATACAATGACAACTTGTAACCTGTGCACCACACAGAGAGATATAGTAATTGTTAAGTTCTAGTTCTAGTTATCGTTTCCTATAGGTAATAACAGAAGAAAAGCTATCCTTCACGATCAATCAATCTCTCATATTGGGAAAAGCTGCATGCAGCTCTAGTCTTGTTACAAATTTGTGACTGTGCACTTCACAACAATACCACTGCCTCTATCAGAACACCAATCACACCATCTGCTGTTTGAGCAGCAGCAATTCTTAACACCAACTATTGCTATTTCAAGAGCAAATCCTAATGCTAGCACCCAGAACAACAGAACAATTGATTTTTTTCATCCAAACACCCAACTGTGTGTACATCCACCTATCTATACATCCACCCTACAAACCTCTATCCTTCCCCATTATCAATAACTATATGCTGGGCATTGTGCTACACACTAACTCTTCTTCATCTGCTGCACCTTCTCCAAAGCCAAGAGAAGTTCAGAGGTCTACCTCCCATGGGGAACCCTGTCACAAGACCAAAGCAGAGAGCTCATTTCAATTATGAAGCGGGCGTCCCTGTTAAGCAAATTACAAAGCACCAGTCATAAAACCATATGCACTTAGGGCAACAGTTCTTAACCTTCGCTACATATTAGTCACCTGAGGTGCTTTAAAATAATGCCAAAGCCTGGGCCTCATCCCAGACTGATTAAATCAGAATCTCTACAGGTGGGGCCCAGCAAGGATAGATAGATAGATTTATATATATATTTGGTACCAGGGATGGAACTTGGGTCCTTGCACTTGCAGGGCAGTGAACACTGAACTAAATCCCCAGCCCAAGGATATATTTTTTAAAAGCTACTCATGTAATTCCAAAGGGAAGCCAGGGTCAAAGAACACCAAAATTAAGTATTTCTAGAGTGATATGTCTGAAAAATTTCTTAATCTACAAATCCATTAAATGGTATGAAGACCACAAAACTCACTCTCCCATCCTCTGCCATCTGAGCTGTATAAAATAATACATCGATACAGTATTATCTCACAATTGCAGTCCCATTATTTACTTGTTTATAGCAATGAAATACTAAACAAGAGAGTACCCTGAGGCCACTCATTGTCCCTCAGTGGCCCCAGGCCTATTCTGAGAAGGAAGCTGTATATGGCTCTTTGAGGTGGCCTCAAGCACGGGCGCCTGGCAAAGTGCAACTGGCAGTGTCCAGGTGAGCAGCACCCCCAGCTCGGTGCCCTGACAGGAGGGAATCTTCATAGTTCAGGCATGATTATCAGACTTTTTGTGCTCTTAAAGGAGAGTAATTATAGGCTCGCGAAAAAAGGGAAGCACTCCCCGAGGAACCCTTCCTCACATGCTTCCCAAGAGGCATGAGGGCCATTAAAAATTCCATGATGAAGAGGAAAAACAGCCTGGGAACAGCCAGGAGGCAATACAGCAAATTAATACACCAGCCCTCCTCGGGGAAAGCTGTGATAAAACAGGAAACATTCCCTTTTTGCAAAATAAAATTATACCCTAATGATAACATACTCACCACACACACACACATACACACAAATCGTTCTAATGATGGGTGTAAAATTCCCAATGCTGCCCAGATGCTTTGAAAGAAATCTTTTCCTACTACAAATAAAATGGGACAAGAAAAAGACAAAATTTCCATTCAAAACATTTTCTAATACAGTCATTCGGCTGCCTCTTCCCTACCACCACTGCTCCTTTATATTCTCTCCTTGGTGCCAGGCTTTTGTTAAGCAGTTCATCTGCATAGAACCCACTACCTACTTCCGAGTCCCATCCAGCTGGCTCCCACACTGGAGTTAGACTGCTCCTTCTCCACCGACCCTTTGGTGGGCAGCGACCCCCTATTCCCAAGCAGTAAGAGGCAGCCTTGAAAGCTCAGTAATTCATCATTTACATTTTCTAAAACTTGCAGAGGTCACTTAGACTAATCATTTCCCACAAAACAGTGGTTCCCAAACTTTACTGACTCTGTACACCCTAGTGAGTAAAAAAACTTGAGGAAACAGTCATTATATATGTAACATACATAAAATATAAATATGTACTACTAAATATATATATATATGATTTAAAATACAGAAAAATTTCAAGGATAAGATAATAAATGTTAAGCTTATAGTACTCCTACTTACTCCTACTTCAAAGATCCTTCATGCATACAACCCACTTGGTATCCTCTACCCTGGGAATGCTGTCAAGAAGACAGTCCATAAGACAGTAACATAGTCCAAGAAGATAATCTATAACTGTCCATATTTTCTCTCCTTTGCTTTTAGCAATGGAAGCAATAACCTCATTTCTTTTTTTTTTTTTGGTACTGGGATCGAACTCAGGACCTTGTGCTTGTGAGGCAGGTGGCGGAACCACTGAGCTAAATCCCCGGCCCCAATAACCTCGTTTCTTTAGAGCAGAGCACAGTAGAAGCTCAGCTGAGACTTCCTCATGCTTCTAAGTTCAGCCACAAGCATTGGCAGGCGACAGAGTGAAGATAATGATGGGGGTAATGAGATACACAAAAGACAAGTAGCTGCCGCCCAAGGGCTGGGGATTTAGCTCAGTGGTTCCTCCACCTGCCTCAGAAGCACAAGGCCCCGAGTTCGATCCCTGGTACCAAAAAAATCCCAAGAAGCTGCCACCCAGGCCAGCCACAGGATGAGATTTTTAAAAGAAACAGCAACCCAAGAAAAGCAGTGACACTGACCTCAGCACACCCCAGCTCCAGGTAGCAGAGGTAAGAAAGGAGAGCAAAGCAGTCCACTTTGAGCATGGAGTGTGACACAGTGCCACTCACACTGTTTTCCCAGAGAGTACTCACAGTCATTGCTTTGCTTGGTATCAAGATAAACAGTTAGAGGACTGTGCTCCTGTGGATGGAGATCTTGTGTGTTATTTTGAGCACACGACCTCTAAGAAAATCTCCCCTGTATCTCTGAGCTAGGAGCCCCTCCTCTGTGCTTCAGATCATTTGGTTATAAACCTGTATTTCAAGTGGCAGTTTCTACACCTCTTTTTCTCAGGAGAGTATAAACAAATGGCCTGGCACACAGTAGAAAGCGAGCAAATGAATGAATGAGTGATGAATAAATACCACACTACTGAAGAAAGGATTATGATGACAGTTTTCATGACTCCACAATTTTTCACGATTAGTAACACCATTTACGATGGCCTCTCTTTTTAAAAGACTTTCTCTACTCAAATACTACTTCTCCAGGAGAAAGACCTGGCAATGGTTATGGTTCAGAGTTCATTATTACAGTCCATAGTGAAAGTTCCAACTACATGAATTAAAACGCAACTTCTTTGCACAGCCTGTATCCCAAAACCTATTAATATATCTATTTAAGAACTTACTAGAAGCAAGAAAATCATCAAAAGCTGGCAAAGAAATTATACCACCAGAAATAATAAAAGTTCTATAGTCCAGCCTGTTAGCTGCTCTTTTGTACACAGTAACCCTAAGGAATGCTATCCTTGTAATCGTATTTACTTCTTGTGTCACCTAAATCAAGAGAATTTATACTGAGAGGAATAGGATTCATTCACTTGACAAATACATACTGAATGCCTAACAAGTGTCAGACACAAGTGCTGAGGATTTGTCAAGGAACAAAACAAGGTCTTTGCACTTTGAAGCTTATATTCTAGTGGGAGAGACACGGGAAAAAGAAAAAAAAATTTTTTTTGAAATGAGTATGAAAATTCATTACAGACTGTGATAAGAACTATAAAAGACACAGATAACACACACAGTGCTGCAGGTGGTCTGAGAGGTCCTCTCTGAGGAGGGGACACTTCAGCTGAGACAAGCAGAAGCTCGAAGAGGTTTCCAGGCAAAGGGAACAAGAGTGAAGCTCCAAGGCAAGAAAGGGCTGCTATTTCTAAGAACAAACTGGAGCTCCCTGGTGCAGCTGGATGAATTACTGAAAGGAGGCTGGACATGAGGGTAGAAATCAGATCACACAGGGGTTTGCAGGTCATGGCAAGGAACGTTAATAATATTCTTTGAAGATAGGGCTTTTAGCAGCAGAAATAATATGAAATATGAGCCAGAAGACTTAGGACACAGTTGAGACTTAATCACATACTAGCCATGTGATCACAGGAAAGACACTTCAGCACACTTAGCCTGTTTCTGCATCTGGACAGCATCTATTTACCTCTGAAGGTTGGTAAGAGGATCAAACTGGATGCTACACTGAAGCATAATTTATAATCTGAAGTGTTATGGAAGTGAAGATGGAAGGAAATAACCACTAGAAGACAATACCTGGCAGTGCAGTGTGCTGGTGAACATCGTCGGTGAGAAGCGTCAGCAAGAACGTCCAGGGAGTAAAGGGGAGAGAGGGGATTCAACTGTGGAGATAAAAAAGATAATTCTACTAGGCTTAAATGAAACAGACTTAGTCCCAAAGGGTAGCCTACTATTTGTTTTTCCTCTTTCTAACTCTTCTGTCATACTGAACAGATATCACTCAATAAAATTATGAATATTTAATAGTGTGCCCATGAATGTGGCATACTTGAACTAGCATACCTCAAAAAAGTACTATTACTTGTTAAAGCAACAATTTTTCAAAAATTTCTAACATACAATAATCACTTTAATGGCAGAAGACAGTACTTCCCAATAAATCTAAAAGAAACGTATGCCTAATAATTACAACTATATATCAGCCCTTTTCCCCAAGAAGACCAGCATAAAATTATCTCTTTACTCCTTTACTTTTGCAAATATTTCAAAGAATAACTGGTTACCATACTCTAGCAGCATAGTATAGTGGTAAAACAAGACTAAAATTATAATACATAACTTTTAATCCCAGCCTACCACTGAGTTGCCCTGTATTGAAAATTTTTCTGACTTTTTTTCTCTTTCCCTTGGTACCCAGGATCGAACTCAATCCTGCTTGTGAGGCAAGTAGTGGAACCACTGAGCTAGATCCCCAGCCCTCCTGTATCGAAAATAACCTCTTCAAGCTTTTCTATTCTCATCTGCAGAATGCATGTAACACTAACTGTCTTACCTATGTTACAGGGTTATTCTAAAGACTACCTGAAATACTGCTTTCAGGTTGTAAAGTAACCTCAGTTTCTTATCTGTAAAACATCCACTGATCTCAAAAGGTGGTTTTGAGGGGTTGGGAGTGGTAAAGCATGTGCTTAGCATGCATGAAACTCTAGGTTCAATCCCCAGCATCAAAACACAAAAACAAAAAGGGCGTTGTGAGGATCAAATGGGATACTACATACAGAAGCACCTCACTTTATGCTTAGTAGCTTTCTTTGGATTTTCCTACAATAATCCTTCCCTGAAAGTCCATAATTGAGAATATCTTAAGGCTGGAAGAACTTCAAACAGTAACTTCAAAAGTACTTAAAAAGAATGTAAACTAAGCAATTGTTCTTTCTGATAACGAAGCTCTGGACCCAGTTCTTCTAGCCATAACTCTGGGAAAATATTTAAAATTTTATGAGCCTCCAGCTCCTCATAGGTACATAACAAATCTGGAATAGACAATGGCCACAGGTCCTCTTCTGCTTTGGGATCTTCTAATGCAAACACAACCAGTGCTCTGGCTTAAGAGTCCCAACTACAGTCTCTCACATGCACTTTCATGACTTTTTCATTATCTGCTACCACTTGCACTACTACTTACCTAGCATTTTTCTTTATAGCCATTATTTTCACTTAGTCTTGCCCTACATGTTTCCATAAATAAGCTTGATATAACAATTACATTTTAATAATGTACATAACACAAAATGTAAAATTAAAATTGTGCCCATATGCCACCTAAAATCATCTCATAAATATACACATTATGTCTTCACTGTTACATTTCATTTTGAAACAGTAACTTCACAATGAAATTTCCAAGTCTAAACTGTGTATCAACTCAATAGGGTACTAATTCATTCCCAAAACAAATAGGAAGCCTGAGTTTTTACATACCAGTCTTCATCAATTTTACCACTCATTGCTAAAATAAAGCAATCCCTGTATCCCCCAAATGAAAAAGCTTTAAACATAAATGAACATCACAGTAGCCACTATGAGTAACATTTAAGTTGTGAAGCCTACACAAAGGCCCAAACATGCCAAGGGCCCCTCAGGCAGAGCTGGGGGAAAAAGACTAAGAGGGCATAGCTCCTAGCCCTGAGCCACTTCATCCACAGCAGCTCTACGTTCTGTGCTTCACATGGCTAGGTGTCAGCTTAGGACTTCACAGCAATGGGGTGCTGATGTTGAACTCATTCTGATTTCTTAGGGCAAAGTTCAAAACTAAGATTAAAAACAGGATTTTCCTGAAACGTGTGTTATAAGAAACTGACAATCACAATTGTACTGAAAAGGAGGAAGTGGCTACAGTTCTCACTAGTGAGTATAAGATCCTCCTAGAAAATAGTCATCCAAGAAAATCAGAATAACATAAGGAGGAGGGAGCCTTACCTCATGTGCACAGGCAGAAATGTGAGGAAAATCAGATGGCAACGCTTTATTCTTTCTAAAGAAAAGGAAATCAAATGATAAAATAAAGATGGCAAAAGTGATCTTACCTGATTTCGTTCTCTTTTCCCAGCTGATGGTAACCAGAAACTAAAAAGAGGGAGAGAAAATAACAGAAAGGAAAGTAATAAAAGAAGTAATAGAAAAATTACAAAAGAGAGAAGAGAAGATAAAAAATTGAATAATGAAGACAAAGAAAGAAATGGGAAAGATGAAGTTGGAGGAGAAAAAGAGAAAAAAGATATTAACTGTGTGTACACTTTTTTGCTGAGAGTAACTCTTCAAAGGATATAAAGTTTCATAATGGTATGTAAGTGATTAGACAGGCAAGAATAAACCCAAGACTACATGTGTGACAGGATTCCAACTCTATACAGTATCAAACTCACATACAGCTTCCCATTTTGTAAATTAAAACTCAGACCAGACTAGATGTGCACAAGATCATTACTGGGTCTTGGCCACAGTGGACAGACAGGATACATGACAGAGCCAACCATGTGAGGGGTCGAGGTTGTCATGAGAAAGGGCAGAGGAATTCTTCTGTAGCTGCACACAGGCTTTCCATTGTGCTTACCCCAGAAATTAGGACAAAAAGGAAAACAATACAGGAAAATAGGGGCAATCATCAATTACAAACCAAAAAAAATTTTTTAAGAGACAGAAAAATGACTTTAAAATATAATAGCCTTATTGGCAGCTACTAATGTAGCCCTTAGAAATATCAGAGGAAAGAAAATGAAAACTAAAAACAAAAAGCAAATCATTGCCACAGTTTTAGGAGGTTAGGCATCTTGACTGTTATAAAGTACAAATCTTTAAGATCTCTTTTTTTAGCTCTGAAGCTGATTTTTAGTTGCTTTATAAAACCCTCCCCTGCCTCCGACTCCAAGGAACAGGCTAGGACAGCCAATAAATACATCAGCACTTACTCTTTCTGCCGGGGATCACTGATGAGATGGCTTATCCTCTCGGTACCCAAAGCACTTACGCTGGTCTCCTAAAAACACAAGGTAGACAAGAGTATCATCAACCACAGAGGCGACACTCTTTTGTCACCCCACTCACCTGTTCCCACAACTGCGCCAGTCCAGACAATCTCAATTGCACATGTGTAATGTCAATCTTAAACTCCAACAGCCACTATAGCTCTTTGTGGGAATCTACCTTAAAGGTATTACATGCTATCCTCATTATCCCTAATCCAAACATGTCATTATAAATATTGTTTACTATACATAGTAATTTTAAATTTTACATGAAACTTACTTTTTCTCCCCCCTGTGGTACTGGGGATTGAACCCAGGGCCTTCACACTGAACTATATGTCCAGCCCTTTTTATCTTTTATGTTAAGACAAGGTCTCACTAAGATAACCAGGCTGAGCTCAAACTTGCAATCCTTCTGCTTCAGCCTCCCAGTGTGCTGAGATTACAGACACGGCACCACACTTGGCTTAAAAGAAATTTATTTTAAATTGATACATAAAAACATAAAAATTATACATGTCAATGAGATACAATGCGATGTTTCAAAACATGCATACCTCCTGTACTATTTAAATCAGGTTACATCTACTTCTCAAATATTTATCATTTTATATATATATGGTATTTTAATATAGTAATACTTCTTGAATTATAACTATAATTAAATACTTCCTAAGTATATTATTATACTTCCTATATTATGAAGTGTATAGAAACACTTTTTCAGAAAATTAAATAGCAGCCAATTTCCTTTTGGGGGGTGTCTAAGGGGATTGAACCCTGGATTGCTATATCGCTGAGCTACATCCCTAGCCCTTTTTATGTTTTGAGACAGAGGCTCACTACATTGCCTATAAAGAATTCAAACTTGCGATTCTCCTACCTCAGCCTCCCTCAGTGCTGGGATTATGGGCACGTGCCACCATACCTGACAACAGCAGCTTATTTTTATCAACCCTGCACACCAAGCTCCATCAGCTGGGTGATGGTTGCCGCTGAGGCCCTTACCCTGGGACACTGACTGAGTCCTCACTAGTAAAACCGAATTATCTGCTGACCAAATGTCTACACGTCAAAGGACTTTGAGGAAAAAAAAAAGGAAAAAAATAAAATAAAATAAAATTTAAAAAAGGACTTTGGTGGCTTACAAAAATTGCCACCCTGTGTTCTAGCCCTTAAACATCACCTCAAAGTAAAATAGAAGTTTGTATAAACTGATTCGTAAATCCAGGGCGCTCAAGATTGTAACATTAAAGCCTACCCATAACACCATATGCAATTCAGAAACTAATCATCTCCAAAAAATTGCAAAGTGGCAGAAGGCACTCACCCTTCATTTAACTTGAGTACATTAATAATGAATATCTATCACAGCACCTGAGAAAGCACACCAACCCACATATGAATAAGAGTCACAAATATGAGCAAGTATCAAGAGGAGAGAACATAAGTCACTGGCATGAATGTCAAGAACGTCAAGCCTGCTACTTAAACACATTTGTTTCTGAGCAAATGTTATTATCTGTATTCAACTGTGTACGGATTAGCCTAAACATTAGTGTACACATTTTAGCAGAACCACTGGCTAAAGAAAAATTAATTTGAGGTCAGATTCTGGACAGGAATGGAGCTAAAGGAAAAGGTTTCACAAACTGCATTCTTCATGTTCCTCACCCCTTACGGCTATGCCTCCTGCTTACAGACACAGAATGGTAGGGGGCCAAGTGAAAGGATGGATGAAAAGTGAGCTATTTGTTACAGCAGAAAAATTATTAACTTAAAATGCCGTAATGTTTAAATTTACAGTTTATTACTGTGTAAATTACAAGCAGTACTTTGCGTAATTAGCAGCTTGCTGGCAGGGAGCTGTGAATGAAACTCATTATTTATGATTATAATTTGGAAAAAGAGAAGAGAAATGGGGGAGGGAGAAGCAGAGGGGCAGAGCAGTGACCTCTGCTAGAAATGACAAATATCCCTTTAAGGTGATGAAGATGAATTAAACAAGTAAATATTATCCTACTCATGTGAAATCATTACAGGCACGTCCAGTAGGCCCTCGCTCCCTTCCTACACAAGCTGAGGGGAGCCTTCAAACTGAACTTACTCCACAGAAGTACAAGGGAGAACATTAGCAGTCCAGCCTAACCAAGAGTGAAAAAGTAAAACCACCTCTCCATGTCCCACTCCCAAACACCTGCCTCCCTCCACCCCGTCCACTCCCACCCGCCTGCTGTCCTAAGAGTTAGCTCCCAGAACAGCGAAAGCAGTACTTTACTGTCAGTAAACTGAGCAATCCAAAAGGAATAAGGTATCACTCTTCTAATAATCAAATGTCTTTCTACTTGGAGGTTTGAATTGGAATTTAAAGACAAAAAATAAGAATCTGAATGCGTCTGGAAGCAAACAGCCTCACTTCTTTGCAAGCCTCAAACTTTAGAAAACAGTCCCCAAGTGGGATTCAAAGAGCAATGGCCCTTCAAGGGGAACCAGAGTGTGGCTGACTACTATACACACAGCTCAGCACAATGTCCGCCACACATTCTAAAGGTTTACTGAGTGAACAACCAATATTCCTGGATACCTGTCTCTCTTACTCTTTGCCCATAACTATGTTCTCAGACCAGTATGAGCCCCTGTCTTATGCTACTTCTCCATCTCAAAGTGAGAGGGGGAAAAAATAAAATTTTAAGAGAAGTAGCCCTATGTTCAAATCTCTATTCTGCCATTTTGGTCTAGGTAATCTCAGGCATTATTTAACTTCTTTGAACCTAAGTTTTCCTCAGCTGCTACAGGGGACTGTCACCGTGAGCAAGGCAGCTGGGAGAAAGCAATGAGTTGAGTGCCTAGTCCAGTCCCTGCCAAAGGCAGAACTGAGTAATGGTAGCAATTATTCCATCCTGCCCAATGAGGGACTCCTGGAATTTGGAGAGAAGTTTTTTTCTACTTTTCTTTAAAATGAATTTTAGAATGAAAAAAAAAAGGATAAAACAAAAATTCATTCCTGAATTTAGGAGTCGTAAAAAAATCAGTTAGGGGTTGGGGAATTAGCTCAGTGGTTCTGTCACCTGCCTCGCAAGCACAAGGTCCCCAGTTCGATCCCCAGTATCAAAAAAAAAAAACCAGAGTATTTTTACTTATACAATAACAACACAGGATTCAATGAAAGTGCAGGAGAGACAGTAGGCCTGTGAATCTATACATAACAGAGGGTGCAATGACAGTATTTTCTTTGTCAGAACTTCTCTGTGAATGAAGTTTTTTTATCTTTTATGTATATATTCATTCAAATCCTACAAAATGTTTTACTGATGTGAACTCCCAAAACATTCCAGTTGGTTTCATTAACTCCAGGGAGCGCTGGAGGGCCCTTGATTGTCAATAGGCACACAAACCCCACAGGAAATTTCATCTTCCTAAGGTGCCTCAGAAACCATGAGAGGTGTCACCTTCCCAACCAGCCTTCTTCGCCCTTTTCTGAGGCATCGAGCTGCAGCTCCAGGTAGACGATTCAACCGAGCATGGTATCCTGAAAACATAAGGCCTCAGTTACTGAATGCAGAAAACCACAAGCAGTCAAGTGCTTCTAGGACACTGGAGCCTTTACCCCCAGGATCTTCACAAGAGTATTTGCCAATAACTTACTGTTCCCATCTCTTTGTCACTGAAGTATGAACTCAAGGCATGCCATTCACGTTGGCCTGGGCACCCTCATCTATAGACATCTATAAAAGGATAATCACTTGCTCACTCCTACCTCAGGAGCTGTTTTAAAGGTCCAATGAAAGCACATGGAAAGTACTTTGTAAACTCCAAATACTATGGTTAATATAAGGTATTATTAATAATTTCTAATTTTAAATTTAAATGCCAGTGAAATAATGATGAAAAGACAATGTATAGTATAACACCATTTTTCTAAATGCTGTATGTGTCCCACACACAGAAAGAGCAACTGAAAGAATCCACATAAAAAGCTTATCAATGATATGGTCTCTAGATTTGGGATTACAGACCATTTGAAGTTTCTTCTTGCTAGTCTTGCTTGTATATCTATTTTAAGTGGTCCATTAAGGACTTACAGAAATTTTCACTGAAATGTTTGATAAAAGTTACTAAAGCAGGGCCAGGGATTTAGCTCAGTGGTTCTACCGCCTGCCTTGCAAGCGCAAGGTCCCAAGTTTGATCTCCGGTACCAAAAAAGAAAAAAGAAAAAAAAAGTTACTAAAGCAGCAAAAAATGTGCATTAAACAGGCATTAGTCTTTACCAAGAACCAAGTGTTTTGAGAAGGCCTATCAAACACTCAAAATTGTCAAACAAAACTACAAAATAGGAGTTTATAGCTCTTAGTATAATTTTAACCACCTATGATACTTAACAAATAATTGATAATGGACTGTTTGATCACTAGCTATTAGGAATTCTAGTACTATAAACTTATAGAGCTAATGAAACCTACTAAACAGTTTTGTTCAATGTTACATATCTTAAATGATGGCGCTGACCTCTCAAGGAAAAAGTGACTCGGTCACAGCCACAGAGCTAGAAAACAGTACCAGAGAGGATTATCACATTTCTTTCTTCCTGTCCTAGGCTCTTTACACCCAACTTTGCTAACTCACAATTCAAAGAAGAACAAAGGGAAAAGATATGTATTTGTGTTAAAGTATGCAATAATATAAAAATTAAAATTAAAATATTTAAAGAAGTATTTTTAAATTACCCACCTAGAAAATGCCATTACACCTGGTATGTGAATGTTATTTTTTTCCAAGAGACAATTTTTCGGGCTTCCAATCAACACTCAATAGCCCATCAATTTTATAGCATGATAAGCAGCTGTGACACTATGCCAGCCTTCCTAAATCTGGCACAGGGGCTGGGGATTTAGCTCAGTGGCACCGTGGCTGCCTGGCAAGTGCAAGGTCCTGAGTTCAATTCCCAGTACCAGGGGGAAAAAAAAAAAAACCAAATGCTTTGTTGCAATGTGATGACAGCTGGGGGTGTAGCTCAGTGGAAGAGCACTTGTTTAACATATGTAGCACCCTGAGTTCCATCCCCAGCACTGCAAAAACAAATAAACAAAAACTAAATCTGGCACAAATGGCAATGGCAAGCTAATGTATGTCCCGAGAGTCTCCATGGACCGACTGAGGTAGGAATGGAGACAACCTCAAGCTCTAAGGCTCACCCTTAAATCCTCAAGGCCAGTTGTGACAAACCTATAGCACGAGTGCCCCAGCAGGCTGTTTGTGCCACTGAAAGTTCTAAGAGGTTCACCATCACTGCTCTCGGAAGTCCCTGGCTAGCCCTACAATTCAGATAGTAATATGTGCTTAGAGGCCTGAGCATGCTCAAGTATGGCATGATGATTCTTGCCAAAGAGGATCATAAAAGTATAAACAGTAATTTAGTCTTCTCAAAACTCACCTCTCTGAGCTGGCCTTGAAGGTAAAAGGAATGTGGAATCTGAAAGTTTATCCAGTCCCGAATCCATTCTTTCTACTTCAGCACAATGATCAGGAGCCCACTTGGGCAGAAGATTAGGAACAGTGAATCCTGGGACGCATTCTCCTTCATAGAACCAATCACTCTGTTCATCATCCCCTAAAGCAGACAGATCACAGTGTAAGCTGGAATTTTAACATGAACTAAGAAAAACCAAATAGGAGGATCACTTCTCAATGCTATCATTCTGACTGTATATTAAATAAACTCAAGTACCAAAAAATTGTTAAGGTCTTTCTTCTTGATATACATTATGAGGAAAACTGGGACATCAAACTAGTTTCACATGAATGTCATACCGTTAGACTAAACTGTTTAATACAGCTACCACTTACTGAGCCCTTACAACCCACCAGGAGATCCAGGCTAAGTCTATGAGTATGTTATTTCTTCCAAGCCCTGCACTAATTCCAGCTTAGGAAACCAATAGCCAGTGAAGTCAAGGTTAAATTGGTAAATAATAAAAGCCAGAATCTGAACCCAAAGCATGAGTGACTCCAAACCTGAGGTCTTTTCCACAAAAAATAAACTGCCTCGCTTATCATCTTCCTTGGGGTAGGTAAACTTAGGGATTCAAAACTGTAAATGTTCCTTAATTCAAAGCTAGTTGCTCCTGAGGTGGGTTTTTTGGGGTTTTTTTTTTTGTTTTTGCTATATTCAAATTTCTCATAAAAAGTGAATGAAAGCCAAACATGGTGGTGCACGCCTATAATCTCAGCACTCGAGGAGGCTGAGGTAGGAAGATAGTAAATTTTAGCCCAGCTTGGGTAATTTAGTGACTTAGCAAGACTCTGTCTCAAAATTTGAAGTATAAAAAGGACTGAGGTCATAGCTCAGTGTGAAGGCCCTGGATTCAATTTTTAGTACCACAAAAATATAGTAACACAAAAGGAAGAGTAAGGGCTATCAGTCAGAATCTTTTCAAGAAACATGCACATTTAAATAGGATACTTGAAGACATTTTCATTAAGTGACTATTTACAAAGGTACAGAGGTACAGACAAGGAAACCAACAAGAATTGCTGATGTGTATAGCCAGCACAACAGGGAGTTTTTACCAGTGTTACACCTAGAGCGGGAAAGAATAGTTATCAGAGCCCAGAGAAAGAACTGCAGTGGTGGGCAAAGTCTGCCAAAGAGGAGGAGTGGTTTTCAACACAGGACAAAACGAATGTCAACAGGTGATCCAACAGAAAAGGAGCCGGGGAAAGCTATAATCCAGTGTCCTCAGCACTCCCATAATAGAGTAATTCATCCACATCCTTGCCCTTTGCCACTGGCCACAGTGCCTTCCTTCTCCATTAGACAGAACATGCGTCCTCATACTAATGACACTGGGCTTCGTCATATGACTTGCTGAAAGTAGCAGAATGTTAACAGATGTGATTCAAACAAAGGCTTAAATATGCGTGCATGTTCTGGCTCAGTCACTTGGCATTTATATCTTCTGCCATGAGAATTCCACCCTGCATATAGCCATTACTTCTCTAGCCTAAAAAAACATACAAAGAGTAGATAAAACTTGAAGCCTGGAGAGCACATGAACCCAGGTAAGATCAGCTGAACTACAGCCAACCATACCCCAAAGCAGGAAATAAATGTGGTCAACCACTGAAACTGTAGGGCTGTTAAGCAGCATTATCACAATAAAAATTTGACTAATAAAACCAATCTTGTTCATTTCTCTCCAATCTTCTGTTGATGTCTCCTATAAACAAAACCCAACAAAAAATTGTGAGCAAGAAAATCCATAGACATAGTCCATGAATGTGCCCAGGAGGGGCTAAAGGAAAACTGTCTGGGTGGATGACCAACAAGTCAAGGACAAGTAAGGGCAAGATTTCAGACAGAGACCAGCATGAACAAAGGCATGAAAACAGAACATAGCACTGCTTTGTGCTGAGAACATTAAGCATCTAAATATCACTAGAGTGTGTAAGGGTGGGGCAGAGAAAAAGGGGAGAGTTGGGGCTACAGAATATTCTATCATCTTTCACAATAAATCAAGCAGTCCTTATTAGCGAAAAAGACTTTCCAAAGGCTCAAAAGCTCATCTGCTGTAGCAAGTCCACACTTTCTTAAATCTCTGTATAATTATGCATCACAACCTTTAAAAAGTAGTAAAAGCAAAGAAAAAGGGCAAATATTAGTAACTAAAGAGTACACACCAGATCATTCATGTTAGACAACCAGACTTTCTTAGTATGAGATAATAGAACCAAGACCCTAGCTTGAGGAGCCTGTCTGTACACCTACAGCCTCAAATGACACTTGGTTCCCTCACAATCAGGACAAATGTACTCACAACAACCACCATTATAGGAGGAAGCACAATGACTCCATGGTGATGAAGCTGTCTCCATGCCTACAACTCTGAGGTGTGGATGAGACACCCTTCCCATAGTTCCTTTCCAAAGTCAGGACCTCGGTGCCTGAATTACTAGGGAGCCATATTAGACTGGCCTAGATATGGTCCTTTATAACTACTTAACCCTGGCAGAAAAATTATTGGATTTCATCGCTAGAGGGGACTTCAGAGATCTACAAATTCCTTATATAGATTAAGAAAACTATAATCTGAAAAGGGTACACAGAATTCTTATTGGTGCTCAAGTAGTGTGATCCTACATAAGTTTAGAGAACAAAAATTTTGTAAAATGGCTTTATACCAATGCAAAATTTCAAATTAATCTTTAGTAGTGAAAATAAACAACTGGTAATTATCATACACTAACTATTCATGGGGCTTTATACTAATCTTTGGGCATTTTAAATTGAGAAAGAAGACATTTTATATAAAATATTCACCCACAACACTATAATCATTTAGAAATAAGGTAAAATTCTGCCTCTGTAAAAACAAAAATATTTTATCCAAAAAAGAGACAAGTGCATAAGAATACTCCTTGGTTCCAAGAAAAAGTACTCCGGAAGTCCCAGCCTTGACACTCTAACCCCCTTGAGCAGTGATGACAAACTTATGGCACTCATGCCAAAGTCAGCTGTTTTTTGGTTTTTTTTGGTACCGGGCATTGAACTCGGGTCTTTGCACTCGCGCAGCAGGCGGCGAAACCACTGAGCTAAATCCCCAGCCCCTATGTCAGCTGTCTCTTATCACCGAAAGCACTAAAGGTTCACCATCACTGTCTCAAAATCTGAATGACCTGCCTAAGAATCACTTCAGATGCTTAGGAAAAATGCAGATTCCAGGGGCCAATTCTAGGCCTATTTGCTTTCTAGGAGCTCAGGAATTGCAGTGTTAATAGTTTCCCACATGGCTCATATCTGTCCTAAAGTTAAGAACTGCCACAGACAATCATCATATTCTCAGTGAGTCACTCCTATAATCAGTCTTCCCCATAAACACTGAACTAACAGTCAAAGCTGGGATAAAGATTACCTTGCCGTCCTTCATCATTGGTAAAGAGCCCAGTGTCACTGCTGCTACACACACTGCTGGTTTCACTGAAAAAAAAGAAAAATAGAACTCGTCAATTCCAGTTAAGTCACTGAACATTCTTCTGATCTTCCATCGGAAAGACCTGAAGCTTCCTAAACTTCATTCCAGTCTATTAGCCAATCAGATATGTAAATTTCATAGTGAAACTACAGGTAAAGTTTATTTCCTCCCAAACAAAATAAATATAAGAGAATGCTAAAAATTTTACTTATATTTCAAAGTACTTTTAAATTATCTAAAGTCATTTTGTTAGTTTAAGATTTATTAAAGCTCATAAAGTAATTTATTAAAGCTCATAAAGTAACTTCAACTGGTTTGATATGTTAAACAATCCAAAGTTACTCATTTACCAGCCAACTTTATTTTTAAATATTGCCAACTACCAGTTTCAAATGAAACTATGCAACTTTAAGACTTCTAGCATGTCTTAAATTTTCTCTTATAAAGCATCAAACAAAAATCCATGAACAAAAAAATTAATATACCGAAAGTTGTATAGCGAAAGTTTCTAAAATGTAACGTCTTCCCTGATGTTAAACAAATACACAAAACTCATTTTGAAAAAAGGAGCTAGGGTTAAAAATAAAAACAAAAATAAATTCCAATTGGACTTAATGAAATAAAATACCCTAATAACTGATTTTGTTTCTTCTTCTGTTTCTACCTATTCTTCATGGAATGTGATTTAACTGGCTCAAGAAAACAATCCTCTGTCCTTTAAAATATTAGCTACTTCCTTGATTGGGAGAATTTCCTTCCAAGTGAGTCAGTGTTTTTTTTTTTTTCATCAGCCCTAGAAGATGGAAGAAATCAAAGTAAGGAAAACACATTTTCACTATGCTACAAGAGGAACAAGATTGGTAAAATCCCAACCTACATTCCTGGATCAAAATTCTGAAAACAGGGCTGGAGATTTAGCTCCGTGGCACACAGCCTGCCTCACAAGCCAAGTTCCTGAGTTCGATCCCAGGTAACAACAACAAAAAAACTCTGAAAGTATTTTGTATTTTGCAACATTTCCAAATATCTTGCCAACACTAACTCCTCAAATGCTGATTAAATTAGTAGCAATTCCTTAGCTCACTTCAGCTTGTCTCTGAATAACAGATGCAGGAGATCCGTCACAGCAAAAGCCAATAAAAATATAGGTTCTTTCCTTTTATTTTCTTGTGTACTTGAAGAAGACACTCAGGGGTCATTCTAAGCAATGTATCATGAAACTATACTGCTAGAATCTTCAAAGGGTTCTGCAATGAAATCCAAAAGACATCCTCACTGAGTACTGCATTTTTCTACTTCTGAGTTTAAGGAACTGTGCCTACTAAACTTAATGGTGTTCCTTTTGTATTTTTAGCAAATCTGAAGACCATTAGTGCTCTAATACCATCAAGTCCTACTACATACACCATCTCTCATACTACCACTTTATTATTCTCTCACAATAAAGCAAATTTTACATTTTCTTTTGTTCTTCTTTTGATATTAAGAAAAGATGCAATTAGGCTATGGGACAGATTCTACCCCACCGTCAAATGTCATGTTTTACTGAGACTCAGGATCAGTAAATACAGTGTATCCTCTGTTTTTGTATGACTTGTGAGTTAAGGTTTCAACAGTTTTAAGTTGTTCAGAGGAAAAAAAAAAAAATCAAAAGATGTACATTTTGTGACATTTGAAAATGATATAAAATTCAAATTTCAATGTGCATAAGTAATGTTTTACTGGAACACGGCCACATTTATTCGTTGACATAGTCCCTATGGCTTCTTCACTCTCAACTGCAAAAATGAGCAGTTGTGATGTAGACTGTAAGGCCCACAAAGCCCTAAAATATTTACTACCTACCCTTTTACAAAGTTTGTGGATCCTTGTTCTGTATGTGTTATAAGTTCTGCTCTGCAATGACTATAGTCTTTGTTTGAATGTTTCCAATCTGAAAATTTAAACAGTTGTTTCATCACAAAGTCTGTCAATTCTCTGCCCCATTTATTTCCAGCCAGTTGTAAGCACTACATGATACAGTGTTTCCATGATCTATTTTACATGGACTCCATTGTCTTCTGATATTTAAAATAAAAGGGGCAGGTTCAGAGAATATCTGCTGGATCAGGAAAGGTGATGGTACCTTGTCAAAGTACATTTTCTATTATCTACAGCATTTCAAGAGAATCAATGTACTTGAAAGAGCTTTGAAATTTATCTGGCACATGCCTCAACCCTGGGAGGCTGAAGCAGTAGGATAACAAGTTCAAGGCCAGCCTGGGTTATTTAGAGTCTTAGTAAGACCTGCATCAAAACAAAAACTTTTAAAAGGGTAGGGATGTAACTCATTGTGAATGCCCTGGGTTCAAACTCTACTACCGCTAAACCAACCAACTCAACAGACCAACTGACCTACCACCCATTTCCTATACATACTTATTAAAGCAACGATAATGATGCCATAGAAATATCCTCATGACTTTTAGGATAATAATCAAGGGAGACAGATATGTATTTTCTTCATAAAAAATTAGTCTAGCTGGGTGTGGTAGCACATGCCTGTAATCCCAACACTCATGAGGCTGAGGCAGGAGGATCACTTAGTTTAAAGGCAGCCTGGGATACAGTGAGTTCAATATCAGGCTAAACTACATAGTGAGACCCTGTCTCAAAAAAAAATTATGTTCAATGAATACTTCATAAATACAAGTATCACCAATTTTACCAATATCCAGAATGAACACATTATCTGATGGCATTTGCTAATTCTATTTCTTCTCTCAGAATAACTTGTGAAAATATAATCATATGTAAAAAGCACAATTTGCTAAGAAGAAAAAAGTGGGAGCTTCAAGGCATGCTTGCACATAAATGCTGTGATGCAGCCTGTAAAAGCATAGTGCTAGCTAGAAAACAAAAGCAAATAGTCCCTTTCCAAATTACAAGCCAGTGTTCTAGATCCACAGCCCTAATTCAGTCTGGCTCAGAGACTGATTTTTTAAAAAAATTCAGATCAGTAGGATTTTAATAAAGACAAATACAAAATATTACTGTATAGCTAATTCAATTTAATATTACATTAAAAATAAGCCCATACCTTTTAATAAAAACAATTTTCTTTTAGCACCTTTGTAGATCACAGTCTAAAAGTTAAATGATGTCAAGCTCTCACAGTTTTTCCTATTCATAAACCTTCAAATTTGCTTATAACTTTTTGGCTTTGAGCTCTTTTTTTTTTTTTTTTTTTGGTACCGGGGATCAAACTCGGGTCCTTGCGCTTACGAGGCAGGCGTCAGAACCACTGAGCTAAATCTCCCACCTTTTTATAAGTAAAAACTTGAGCCTATCTATAATGCCCATCCCATTTGCAGTTGTTTACAGATTAGTCAGAAGAGAGAAACCCAGTCTTTATGAATCTTCAGAAAAAAACCGAACAAAACGAAATCTGCAGTGAACAGCAGATAATGAAACCTCATCTTCTCTTGAAATGGCAGCCACTCCTACAGGCATTAATGCCTCAAATTTTGATGAAAATTTTCAAGTACACAAAAAGTTGAAAGTTAATACCCACATTCCATCACCCAGATATAGCAAGTAACATTTTGTTTTGTTTTATCAGACACCTACCCATCTAATCTTTCCACCAGAACTGTATAATTAGAGGCACTCTCAGTAGACCAGATGACTGGAAATGGTATCTACTTCCACAGAAGTATACTGTGATAGAAATTCAGCCTAATGAAACACTATTGAGGGGGCCGGGGATTTAGCTTAGTGGTTCCACCACCTGCCTCGAAAGTGCAATGTCCTGAGTTTGATCCCTGGTACCAAAGGAAAAAAAACCCACTATTGAGGGTTAGGGCAGTAGCTCAGTTGTACAATGCTTGGTTAGCATGTATGAGACCCTAAGTTTAATCCCTAACATCACCAAAAAATAAACCTTACTATTTTAAACCTTGTCTGCTGAAACAATTCCAGGACAAACATTGTTTTTGTTGTTTTTTTCTGAGACAGGGTCTTATTATGTATTCTATGCTGGCCTTGAACTCATGGTAATCCTCTTGCTTCAGCCTCCCCCCTCCAACTCCCCCGCACTGGGATTACAGGTGTGCACCACCACACCCAGCTACAAAGGCTATTAACAACCAAACATTATACGCCTTAGTACTGACTGGAATAAGCTTTCATCTGAAATGCTCCTCTTTCCAAGTTCTAAACTGTACTGTCTGCCTTGTGAGGAACAGTTAAAGGGCTTCATTTTCAAATTGGCAAAAATTAAATTTGTTTCAATACTATAGTATATTTATTTTACATGAGAGATCAATGTTTGGGTCATAATAAGTTTTCCTAATTTGATTGTTTTGTTTTATTTTGGTTTTGGTACTGGGAATCCAAAGTTTTCCTAATTTGAAACTCATGCATGTTGGTAAAGCAGAGTCAATGATAAAAACCCACCGTCAGTAACAGAAACATCAGCACCAGTGGTTCTCAACTGGAAACAACTTTGCATGCCTCCCTTCAGGGTCATTTGACAAAGTCTGGAAACACTTCATGGCAACAACTTGAAGGGGTGGGAGGGTTGGCAGGCTGCTGGCGTCTAGGAGATAGTCTAGGGGATAGATCTCACAACACACATGACAGACCTAATACAGAGACTTGGCCCAAAATGTCAATAGTGCCTGAGCTGAGAACACTGACCTAGAGTAATGAATAAAAAGTAAAACTTTATCGTAAGTATGCATGGATAGAAAAAAACATTTCAGACAGCCAGTAGCCATCTGTGGAAACCAAACTCCCAGAACCTATACTCTGGTTATTTTACATGCCAGTGTAGTCCTGCTCGCATTGTCACTTCTGAGATTAGGTGAACAAGACTGTGGCTTCCACCCTGGACTCCCCCCTCTGCCACACACACTTCTCTCAGATCACTCACACAAGAGGAAATACTGTCTTGAGGACTCTGACAGACCTTGGCGGGGCCCAGGTGAAGAGGAACCCAACAGCCTACTGAGGAAATAGGATC